CCCCAAAACCCCAAAACCCCAAAACCCCTGCCTTCAAATAATAGAATTAATTTCCGATATTTTTTGGTTTAATCTAGGAATAAAATATATAGATAATGAAAAAGGAAAAGTTTAAGTTTTAGATAAGCAAAGACAAGGAAGTTAAGTTGATGAAGCACATTCTTTCAGACATCGAGGAGGAGGAAAAAGCCACGGGAGATAGAAACTAGTTCGTGACTACATCTGAGGATAACACAGTGAACAACAATTACCTGAGCAACTCATGAAAGGGTGAAGAGGATCACTGCAGCTGGATATCAATATCAAATCTCAAATAGCAAATCATCAAATAACCAATGACTCTCAATGAACCTAAAAGTGCCCCAAAGTTAGGGAATAAAAAGTTCAGATAACCTGGGGGGTCGGATGATAAGAAATTATATAAAAATAATGTAAGCTCCTAGCCTAGCCAAAGAGGAGAAAAAAGTTCAGCTAAAAATATCGAAGGCAAATTAAATGGGAAACTCATGCAGTCATTTACTGTTGAATCAAACTTAAAATCCAGTAGTAATACTAACTCTAATAATAATAATACTCCAGCCACAGGAAACTCTAAATCTCTTGCAGGTAATTCAATGGGTGGAGTGGTGAATATTAATATCAGCAGCGGAGGAGGGGTTGCCAATCGGAAATACAATGGCAGTTCTGGAACAGTAGGCAAGCAGCAGTGGTCTAATGAAATATCGTTAAATAATACGTCAAAGACTTAAAAGTCTATTGAATCAAATTTTATCTCTAATACCATCTCTGCCAAGAGAAAAAGATCTATTCTTGAGTAGCAACAAAGGACTGGATAGACTGCCTAATTTTCAATTTCAAAAATACAAAATATACCGTTGACAAAGGATTCAATAAGTCTGTCCAGCTCGTTTCATGCCTAGAATTAAACTCCGCTAGACGAGCAGTAAATAAATTCTAACAGAGTAAGAGCAAGTTTAAGAAGTATACAATAGTCAAATATTGACTTGAAAATTCGCACCAACATTGATGATAACTATGAGATTCACTCCACTTCATCAAAAAGCATTGAAAAGGGAAGAGCTTTTAACCTTCAGAATATATCAAGTCTAGGATACTCTGGATTTCCTTAATCCAATCATGAAGCAGGTGGTGTGGTCGTATATCAGCGTGATAGCAATGCAGGAATAAGTGAGGATGATCCTATTAATAAATTTCTAAATACATATGACAAGGAATATTCTATGTTTTTTGAACGCATTGATAAAATAAAGAAGTCCAATTCCAGAGAAAGGGTTGCTAACAGTAGTAGTGTTGAAAACAAAAATCAAAATCACAAATCTTTTTTACTAGGATCCTATAGGATGAGATAAAATTAAAACGACATAATCTAATCAGATCATATTAGGAATGATGCGATGAGGGATTTTGGTGGGAGATCTGTACTCGAACAACGATTGGATAAGATAGTTGAGAGTGACGAATAGTAGCCATAGATTCCATCTTCTGGTAGAATACTGAGAAATGCGAGGTCTGAGCGAGATATCCACTCTCATAGAAGCAAATAAATCCTGATAAATTCGGATTCTAAGAATAAGATTAATAGCAGGCAGTATCAGTTCTTGAATCCATCTAACAACTTTGTGGAATAAAATGATTAAAAAATGTCTTAGTCTCCCTCATCGAATGAGGAAATACTATTTATAGCTGATCCAGAAATTTAATCTAAATACGGAAATAACAATAAGATTCAATGGAGAAAGCACAATAAAAAAGAAGAGGAAAAAAAATCTAGCAAAAGTATTGAAATTCTATAGAGAATAATTGGAAATACTGAATAGTAAAAATATGCGAAAAATTAGAGTGATAGAGATACTCTGGTAACTGCTCTTAGTAGTCAAAGAGCATCATTTAAGACAATTGGGCATAATTCAAAAGGAAGTCCGGCTAAGACTCAAGGCAATAGTAAGTAAAATGAATCTCTGATTGCTCGAAACTAAAGTGAGAATAGGTTTAGGAAGAAAATTGAATAGATTTAATAAAGTAAGATATGTCCAATGTCAATTAATTAGAAAATTTAGATGCTAAAATAGAATTGAAACAAGGAGCATCAAGTAGGTTGAGCCAAGGCTCCAACTATCAAAGCATTTATGAACAGCCTATCTATATAAATCTCGTAAATGAAAATAGAGATCTCAAACTGTAGAATCTTGTAAATATAGCATATGATAGAATTTATTTTTAGGAGCTAAGAAAACTTTTGAGCTAGCAATCATTACAAAGAGATCAAGATGTTCACTAAATTACACTTCGATAAGAGTCATAAATAAACGAGTTAAAAGGGCATTATGAATAAGTTATATTAGGAAAAGAAAATGATCACATGTAATAGCAAGGAAGATTGTAATAGTACTGCACCTAACTTGAAGATATGCTTGAAGAATCTGTAGCAATGATTCATCAATAGAATATTCAATTTCAGTAGTAATTTAGACAGTTTGAAAATGATTAAAACCTAAGACTTAGTAATCCCACTCAGCATCAACACCAAAAGCTGCACATCAGTATGTATAATGTAAATTAAATGCCTTAAATGAGCCCGAATTTGAGTAACTGGATGCGAGTTAACAAGTAGAAATTCTTATTTTCCCCAGGATTATCTTCGCTTCATTAATCTACAAATTAAGATGTTTAAACTTCCTCGCTTAATATGATAAACTAAGTTATTTCGATGGAGGATCAGAATTTCAAGCAAATGGCAAGATCAAATTAAGAATACTACAAAAATAGTAAGATGCTCTCAAAGCTTCTTTAGAGGACTGATCTAAGTTCGAATCCCTTAAATATGATTACCAAGTCAGGAACATATGCATCTCCAAATAAGCATGATAGTCATTTCTCACCATAAATTATGAACAATAATGAAATCACTTTGTCAAATCCAGAATCAACCAGCCCAATAAATTATCCGATTGAGGACAACATGCAAAATATAGAAGAAAATCAGCTGAGTTCATAGAATTCTAATATGCAAATACAATCAACTTATTAAATGGAGTAATAAGAGACTTACCCGATGTATAACTACTATCAAAATTATCCGATAATTGAAGAGAAGGTGGAAACTGAATAGGATGACGATGTTCGAAATCCTTCATTCCGAAAAAGGTCCAATAACAACAGCACCTCACATGATTTCGAGAGAGATGAAGGATTTTAAGTCTACCAGCCCTATTAAGAGGTATCCCCCCAAAAGCATATAAATGAGAATTAGTCTATGTCTATCAAATCTAGTAATTATGTTTAAGATGATAGTATACTCTACAGAATTAAAAATAATCTCGAGCAAAATCAAACTAAAGTCATATCAAATTCAGCTTAAAAAGATAAAAAGCAGTTTAGTAATCACAACAATATAAACATGCCTCGAGTGTATAATAAGAGCACTCTGTATAGGAATGAGTCTAACAACATATACTAAAATAAGAATAATCCAAAGTAGACTCATCATCACTATGTTGCTCCATAGCTTTAGTAAAATAGATTCTTTATTGACACTTGCTCAGATGATTCCACGATTCAAGAAGAAGCACCAATAAATGACAGTAAAATAAATGTAGGCGATTACAACTCGATTAAATGGAATCAGTATTAAGTTGAGATGCATGTCTAAGATTTGATCTCTTAAATTGAAAGCTATCTTACAAGCAGTGAACAATTTGACGGGGAATCAACTCATGGAGGTAAGATACAGTTAGTATCTAAGTAAAATTCACTCAAAAGATCAGCTGGAAATTAAAATAATATCTAGCTACAAGATCTTAAAGGGAATAAGTAGAAGTTGACGTTATAAATACAATAACCCTCAGACCAAGAATTTGATCTTTCCCAAAATAACTCAGTTTTGCACAACATTGATCATGTCCTTTTGTCAGACAGTTTGAAGTAGAACAAAAATCTAAATGACTAGCTTCTTAAAAACAAGTAGATTTTTAACTTTGGATTTTAGAATTAAAAGAAACCCAAACGGACTAAAGAATAGAAGATGAAGGGACTAAAATCTAATGCCTTACAGCTCAGATAATCTCTTGAGAGTTTCAAGTAGAAGCTAAATCTTATGATAGTCAGACAAAGAATGGATAGTAGTTAAAAATAAGGGAACAAAATAGACGAGAAAAGTTAATGACAATGCATGTTTATAATGCCAAAAGATTTATATAGTAATGTGTATCGTTTGTAAATAGCCTTGATAATTTTTAAGATTTTCTATTAGTTTAATTTAGTAAGTTTCATTTCTTTTCTCTTTTAATAATGTGTTATGGGGTTTTGGGGTTTTGGGGTTTTGGGGTTTTGGGG